GATTGCATGTCACGAATGCATTTGACGGTGCTGAATGTTGCCAGATGCTCTTGAATGCACCTCAAGTATTTGCACTCTGGACGTAAAGCTGCTTTACATCAAAGGCCTGGGTGTGATCTCGAACTCAAGCATCTGCGAAGCGCAAATCCCGACCTGCTACATGCATCAAACTCATTTTCATCAAAGCATGAAGCTGTGTGGCTAATGGCTTTTCACACACTCTGGAGTTGTGCTTAGCTGGCGAAGCCTTCCAGTGCTGTTAAACTGTACAGCCGACAGCGTTCCCACCTACATGGTGCACCACTGAATGAGTCACTAGTACATTAAGGCATGCAGAAAAATTAGCCGTCTCCCCCCCCAGAATCATCAGGAAGGTGTTAGAACTCACAGGATTCATCAATCTTCCATTAACTGTATTCGTGTACCAGTGCATACCTGTAAATACATGAGAAAAAAAATAAATTGTGAATCTGCTTCCCATATTATCGGTTTATTGTAAATATATACTCATTATTCATACCTGTACAAAGTCTGCTGGCCCCATGCAAAACAATTGTATCAAAACTTTATTCAGTAGAACCAGTTGTGGAGTAACATATGCCATGCTTCTGTACTTTTTTTTGTTTGTTTGTTTGTTTGTTTGTTAACTTAGGTTATAACACAGACCGCCATTCCGGGTATCCAGATCTCTTCTTTCATGCAGTTTTCTAATGAGCTGCACTTGTGCTCCTGCAACACATTTCCAACAAGTATCTCGGATCATGCTCAGCCATTTATGAGGAAAAGGGGGGGAAAAAAATAAAGGGAGCCCAAAAGGCTGGAATCGGCCGCTCGGTGCTCACCTGGCGAGAATAAAGGAGTTTATGATCATGACTAGCAAGCAGGACTTCAGCAACATAAATTTGTTTCATGTGTTATCGGTGATATTGAGTTAAAAAGTCACAAGCTAAAGGAGGTTTTGCTTCTGAGGTCACATTTTAAAGAACACATGACAGTAGCGACAGGGAAAACATTAAAGGGTCTAATTTACAGAAAAACCTGCAAGTTGCCTAAACAGTGAGGCCGCTGTTGACATTTGTGAGGAACGCATAGGATTTAATTCACCTCCAATTTACTGGTTTGGAGACAAAAATCTAAGATATGAGATTGAATGTCTCAAAAAATGTGTCCAAACACAGTAAAACCAAAGACTTCTGTGTTAGTAGATACCTTCAGAGGTGTGAGAAAAGCTATTATTTTGAATGAAAAACACATTTAAAAGCTAAACAAAGCTGAAAATCTTTATTCGCTGACCTCCAGTGACGTAAAAATGTACTCAGAAGGGCAGTGTTGCAGTGAGCACTAACTAAAAGAAGCTCAATAAAAGAGTTTGGTGAGAAGATTTTCTGCTGCGGCTGAATTCAACATAATATCGAGCATTTAGGGTTTTAAATCCAAAGTGTAAAAATGCAAAGTTGTCCAGAAAACCTACTGATTCCACAATGACGGGGGCACGTCACTTAGGAATAGCATTTCAGCACACACACACCTCTATAGAAATAAACCATAACCGCCTAGTTTTATGCATCAAACAACAGTGATTTCCCCTCTCTATTTTCAAAATAAAAGTCCATAAACATCCAACACATATTTGGGCTACAATGCAGTTTTGTTGGTTACATATCAAAGCTTATTTCATCTGAAAACACTGTTGCTACTACATGTTGTGCTATCTGTTCTTTTTTATTTTGTTTTTTGCTTAAGTGTCCCATAACTTATGTTAATTGTTCTTTTTGTAATAAACGGTTTGTAACATCCCATTTAAAAGACACGCTGACTTCTTTCGTTAATCGGAGATGTGGTGAAGACTGGGAGCTTAATAAAGACGGAATGAAAATGTGCATGTTTTATTCTAGATGCTGAAATTATCACTTCAATGGAGCTAAATAATGCTAAAATTAGTTACGTTCAATAGATTAAAGGAGGAAAATGCAGTCCCATTAAGAGAAAAGGGATGTGCTCACTTGGATGAAAGAAAAACACGACTTGTCTCGCCATTAACTGTTCATGTGTGAACTACCTGAACATCAAACAGCGAGGAAATCAAAAGACACAACTCACAATCATCACTGGGCGAAAGTTGGGAAACTTTTAAGGAATAAACATAATCAGTGTGAAACTGCTGAGAAAGCAACCGAGACAGAAATCACAACTAGAGCCGAGCAAACACCAAACGAACGAGAAAAACTGATAGAAAACCAAGCATGCAGGCATGGAATGGGAAAAAAAGTTTATTGAACTAAATGAGGAATGTAACCAAATGTTTGAATAAAAGAAAGAAAACAAGAATCTGTACCGCAGTTTGCGCCGACGCACACAAGCTGTAGATGCCTACAGAGCTACTTCCAGTACTAGACTTCACATTCTACACAAACCTGCTTCCTAAAAAGAGACCAAAAGACAAGTCGTGGGGAGGTGAGGAATCTATTCTACTCTTCTCTATAGTGTCATTTAAAAGGAGGTTGTCGGTTCTACCAGTGTATCAATCGGAGTTCTGTTCACCGCTCAGACAGCAGCTCAACTGTACCCGAGTCAAAATACAGTTTCTTTACGGCTGCAAACTCTCTGACTAAACAAAAAATACCTGCAGTTTGTTCATAAATAAAAAAAATACAACAACAAAAAAAAAGAAAACATGACACCAGTTCGTTCATGATTGGTGAGCATCTGCACAACCTACACAAGGGCTGGAATAAGAAAACGTAAAGTTGTCTGATAATCGGATCGTCTGCCAGGTCGGTGCTGGCAGCTTGGAAACTGGTTGGGCTTTATGTTTCATTAAGCAGACGTGATGTTTGTTCCTCGTTTGTCGGGTGTTTTGGTTTCTTCTCCCTCGCTTGGATCCATTTCGAACCCTGCTGGGTTCACTCCACTTTGCTGTAGTCCTCTATGTGGCCCAACACCTTCTTCCTCTGTCGGATCATGTGGAAGTAGAGCTGAGGAAAGACTGTGGCCACGCAGAAGAGATCAGTACGACAATAATCAATATAATGTAGTTCAGTTCAACAACACGTTCAGCCAAGAACCCGATCATTCATTGCCTGGGAGAAGCATTTACCCCATTGGAAGTTTTCGCCTTTTACTGCTTTTCAATAGGCTGAATCGTCGTCAGTTGAATTTGGCTTTTTTTGGCAAGTATTTATAAAAAAAAAAGTGTCCTTCATGTAAAAGTCCAAATTCAGTGTCTACAGCTACACAGAAATCCCTTATTAAATAAAAATAGGTTTTATTTTTAATTAGTTAAAAGTACTTGTTAAAAATCAGTTTCACTTTGACATCAAAGTATTTTTTTAAAAGAACATTTTTCTCACAAAAAAAAAAATACAAAAAGGAAAACTTTCTCTTTTTTTCTATTCAACATCAACACAGGATTAAATTCACACCTTTCCAGCACTGTCAAAAAAAAACATTATTATCAATAAGGATGTTCTGATAAGTTCGTTATTGGCCGATATTCATCCTAAACAGTTTGATTGGTGGTCTAAGCTTAGCTTAGCTAAGTTAAGTTAAGTTAAGTTAAGTTAAGTTAGAATTATTATTGGGGCTTTTAAAAAAATGTAATGCAATAGACTTTACATGTACAGTGCTGAACAAATTTACTAGACCACCACCCAATGTACAGTTGATGCTACATCTGCCCTAAACTAACAGCATTGTTAATTACCAAAATCATTGTTGATGTATCTGCAAAGGTAATACACCAGTATGTAGAAGCTCTTTCCAAAATGATATTTTTAATGCTAAAATATAATAATTATAGTTATCCATGAGTTTTCAAATTTACTTTTACAAAAAAAAACAAAAAAACCCCAGAAAAATAGTAAAGCACATTATTATTTCTTGATTAGGAGGTCAAATTGTAGTTATTTACTTGCATTCCTGAACAGAAAATTTAGTTTAAGTGGTAAAATGTTATGCTGTTATGCTTGAATTATTTATGACTTCTCAGAGAAGCCCAGTGGCTCAGATTTGGGTATAAAAGGTGAATTTAGTTTGAAATTCCTCATTCCTGAGTCTGCATCGAAGCACTTCATGATGCTGGATGGTATACAGTGCTCAGAATATTAGACAGGTGGTCTAATGAACTTGCTAAGTCCTGTACAAAGTGGCCACTGAGTGCAGAATTTTGCAACATGTTGTATCCACCAAAGAAAAATGCACGTTTCGTTGCTATTACATCTTTGATATCGTGCAATTATAAGAAAAAATATGCTAATTATGTGATCGATTTTCTTATCATGACGATGGTTTTTCACATTCTGTGTTATTTCTGATGTAAACAAAAAATTTAGTGCAAGTTTGTGCTAATACCGATTGGGATCGAGACATTCCTACTAAACTTACTCCACATTTGTGATATAAAGCAAATTTTGACTGGCAGCAACAGTCAGTCTCGCTGCTCCGTGTTTACCGTCGCTACAAATAGTCAAATGTGATTGTTGACTTACGGGGAATGTAGGAGATCATGACGAGGATGAGGAAGGTGTAGTAGTCGAAGGAGAAGTTGTACTTGTTGGGGAGGGTGACCGAGTACAGGCCTGTCTTCTGCACGTACGGCAGCGCTGCATAGATAGTCAGCAGTTCCCCAGTCACTCCCATGGGATAGAGCACGATGAAGAAGGTGTACCTGCAGCACGGAGGTTTGTGAAAGAAATTATAAATCGTAGCACTTTATTATTCATCGTCTCTGCAGCAGGGGGGTGGAGGTGTGGGCGGCGAGTATAAACAGCAGAACACTGAAGGGAAATATGCATGATATAGGATTTGTTTTTAAAAGAAGAATCAGTGCAGCTCAAGTTAAAAAAAAAAAAAAAAAAGGCAATGGAAACAAGCGCTCTAAAAAAAAACAGGCACTTCATCCATAGTTTGGACATGGTTTGGGTGTTTAAAAATGCAAACAGAGCAGAGGAGAATAAAAATGTTTTGGCCAGAGGCAGCAATACCAGAAACAGTTTTATCTCTTCAAAGGAGAAGTTGAGGCGTCTGAGAATGTGCTCAACGATTCAAGTAAAACAAAAGAGCGAAAAGGCTGTAATTATGGTATTAAATCCATAACTTATTAACCATGATGTACATTATTATATGAAACACACTGCGATAATAAAAGTTAGACCACACAATGTGTTGCCTGACAAGGAAATATCGAATTTAAAGGAAGCCTCTTCATGCTTTTAAATTTTTAATCATTGAAGTGTTGAGCAGTCGGACCGTCTGGGGAGAAAAAAGGCGAAAGCTCGCATTAAAATATGAGCGATATGCCGAACTCTGTTTCTTCTACTGAGAGAATCAATATCAAAGACAGAGAAAGAAAACATCTGCCTCGTCTTTAACGGGCACTCCAAACCCGGCGACTGTCTTTTCTGATCCCTCGCTGCATTTTCCACAGACGCACGACCAATTTTTCTGTCTCTCAGGGTGCAACTCAAACTGAAAGTCGAATACCAATATAGCACTGGTCTCATTTGCTACCTAGCAACAAAGGCCGCAGGGAGGGAGGCACTTAACAACTGTTGCCTTGGTTGTAGATGCAGAAAAATCCTATTAGGCCGATAGAAAGACAGAGATTTTTATTGTGGAGACTGCACAAGATTTTCTGTAGGTTTGACGACTCTGTCTTTGAAATCAGTGTTTGGAGAACAGTGTCCCATTTACAATCTGCCTCAACCTTTTCATCTTTATTATGTAACAACAAGAGCCATACATCAGTTTTAGGATGTAAATGAGGTGATGAAAACAGCACAATAACAAATGATCTCATTTAAAAAGTCATTAATTTGGCAATGTATTACTCCCAAACAAGAAATAAGAAATGTGTGATTACTTTTTGTTCCATGAAAAGCCAAACAGTGAAAATACAACAAACTTTAATAGGAAATTAAAAATAATAGTCGACATAGTTTTTCATTACTCTGTCGGTTATTTGACCTTATTAACCTGTAAGAAGTTTAGTATTTTAGTTTTTTTTTTTCTTTTTTCCAACCAACGGTCCAAAACATAGTCGAGGAAGACTGTGATAGCATTTTCTTTTTTGTTAAATTGATATCCAAAAGCAAAACAAAGCCAATGCTCATATGGGAAATGCCTGGAAACACTGAATGTTTGGTACGTTGTTTTTTTATTTTAAACTTTCTGACAACCAACTAATCCCTTCATTAATATTTCTGAAACATAGAGCACAAATATTTGCTTCATGTAAATAGAGGTAAACCCCTCTCATCAGTGGTTACGTCATCCTGACACCTAGAATACAAGATGGTGCTGAAACAATCTAACGATGGATCGATATTAATACAAAACACAACTATTTTGCTAATTAGTTGATCACAATAATCATTTGCAAGCAAAATATGCCAAAACACTGTCATCTCCGAGTTCTCACATGTGAGGGTTCTCTGCTTTTTCGTCATATTTCGTTCCAAGTTTAATATCTCACTGTTGGTGATGGCTGATCTTATAAAACGAGACTTCAGTAAACAATAAGGACAGTTAGTTTCAGTGTGAATTTAGTATTAAAACAATAAAATCATAGCTTTAAATGTCTAATAAAAGTTAACGTGACTAACAATCTAACCAAACATTGGAGATGTTCCTAATCTCATCTACCCTCCACCACTAACATAGGATTAGAATGCACACCTTTTTAAATGGGATTACTCGTGTCCTTTGCACATCTTTAGCTGTTTACACCACATATGATGTCATTTTGTGCATTCTCAGGTAAACAATTTGCACATGTCTGCACACTGTAAATACATCAATTACTTTACATTTAACTATGCTGTCTGTTGACTTGCAGCACTTTCTTCTGTTTTTAATCAATACATCGTCTTTAAAAATGCTCGACTTTTTGATGCTATGCACCAAAACACTACGTCAGATTCCTTGTAAGTGAAAACCTACTTAAAACTGATTCTCATTTACACTCATTCGACAGGATTGTTCATCCATCTTTTAAGCTGGTAGACTTAAAGAGCTTTCAAGATGCAAATTTACAGGTATGAAACTTGATTTTTGGGGTCTGTTAGATTTGGTTTTAATGTTTCAAAAAAAAGACATTATTTTTCTCATATTGTACATTGCTGCAGCACCTTCTTATTAACTCCCGTCCCTTTAAGGCCCTCTTCTCAAAAAACAGTCTGCTCTGATTGGTCGGTTGGCCCAATAAAATCAAGACAGTGCTGGTTATGTGCCGTAAACCCAGATCTATGCTTGGCAGGCGTGATGCAAATCTGTTACATGGTGACACAGATAAGTAACAGAAGACGAGGGGTTTGAGGCAGGTAAGACGCAATGTTTTATGTGTGAGAGAATAACTCCTTTTGGAAGTTTGCGGATCTTCTCTATGCAACAAAAGCTCCATAACATACTAAAGGAAAGGAGAAAACGAGCTCTTGAGATGCTCTGTTTTTACACTCTGAGGCTAACTGTCCTACCTTGCCCATTTGATGAGGTAAGGCAGGTGATTGAGCAGGCTGAAGGTGTAGAAAGAGTAGCGGATGATCTCTGTGACGGTCCAAGCTGTGACAAACAGCAGCACGCTGTCTTCACTCTGGACCTGCAGAAACACGCACGAAAGGATGACGTGAGGAGGACAGCAGAACAGTCGAGGTCACATCATGCTGTAGCAGTCGCCCTGTCGCAGGCTAACGTCAGCTTGTCATCACATGCTGTTTTGTTTCAGATGCTCACACTGCAGGCCGACGGTCCTCAGGTATTAGATCAAAACCAGTACAAAGAAGATGTTAAAACGAAAAGAGCGCTATGAGGAAAAAAAAAACTCAAAATCTACAACGCATTCAGAGAGAAGAAGAAGAAGAGAACAGCTTGAGGAAAAATGTGAGTACCGTATCATACAACAGACACACAGAGGAAAGAAAAACCAACACAAGTTAAGTATTTGCAGGATTGAAATACGGCAGATTCATTCCTGCAACCCTACAGCAAGACCACGTCCTGTTACTTACACTGATACTCCCCACCGATCTACAAACAGGGCAAACAGCACGTCAGCCGGTCACTTCTGAACATGAACACATATTTACATTGCCGTGTCGATCCATGAGAAAGACTGCATATTTGAAGATCGGTTCATATTTGCGAGAGCGTAGAGAACGTAAAGGAACTCAGCGTACCTCCCTGACGCTGTGAGTGACGGCCCAGGTGAGGAAGACCCGAGACATGACCTGGAATCCAGTCAGGACCACAGAGGACGGTACGATTCCTGGCATGAGAGACAAAACACAAACCCTGAATATATACAAAGACTGCTGGTTATTAGCTGCACACACTGAACAGAGGAGTGTATGTTTGATCATCAAGGATATTTTCAAGAACCCAGAAACTAGAATGCTGTTTTGTTTTTTTTTTCAAAAGTCTAATTCAAAAAAGTTACAGATTTTTTTTATTGTAATAATGACACCAACCCTTAGATGATTAGATGCTGAAGGTCACTGACAGGCTTCTAGCCATAAAGACTCATAACATGTCTGGTTCAACCCAAACAGCTGGAATCAAACCTTGACATATGAGCTATTTAAGGACGTCAACTTAAGAAAGTCCATATAAAGGAAATTTGGAAAATTCTTACTAAACACATTACTCATGTCAGAAAATTCATCCTAAACAATCTATGAACAAACTATGCAGCATCAGTTTTAATCATTTTTGTGTTCAGGATTTCTTGGGCCAGAAATAGTGGCTTGATGATGCATAGGAGTCATATTTGACATGAGCTCTCTGTCTTCCATTACAAAAAAATAGAGCGCATTAGCATCAGTGGTTCACAAGTCACTACACCTACCGCAGGCTACAACTGGTTAGCATTGCTTTTATTCAGCACATGCATCTTCCCTGAATGTCAGAATGTGCAGAAGAGCTTCGTCGCCTTTCTAAAGTGTCTTAAAAATGATAAGATGGATGTCAGACAATCAGCTAATGAAGCACAAAGCCTCGTCATCGTCCCATCCCTCCAACTTGTTCTTTTCATGATTTCGAAACCTATTTGATAGAATTGTGGATTATTTTTTCAATCACTGAACTGTATCTGGGTGGTTACTAACACAGTTTTCTATAGTGTGACAAACTAAGAACACATATTAATGACTGCTTAACATGAACTTTAATTGTTCCTCCTTTTTTTTTCCATCTCTAGTATCGCTGAATTGGAAAAATAAGAAATAAGACTTGCATAAGAATGTACAAAAAACCTAAAAAGGTGCCGTGAGCTTGCCTCATTTAAATCAAAGAATGAAAGTTTAGATATCAGAAGTGGAATTGGGGAGAAAATTACATCAATGCATCCAAAGTAATCACAAACGTTGGGCTTAAATCTCCCATCCCAGCAACCTAACTTTGCTGTCACTAAACCTTAAAGTAAGTGAACATAGCATACAGGATACGATTTCTTTTTTTGATAAGAGACAAGGTGAGCTCCCAGACGGATCCTGATAAATGAAGATGCAGTATCTCCCACTGCCAGCAGAGAGGAACCTGGAGCTCAGCGTATGCGTGTCTCAGTGTGTGTGTGTGCTGTGAGCAGACAGCAGCTGCAGGAAGCCTGTTTACAGTGGGAAAGGTCAGCTAGCTTTAGCTTCAAATCCCAGATAATGAAGAGAATGGACTGTGCACCGCAGCGAGGCAGCCAGGCGAGAGCCGCTCGCTCCTCATCGCATTAACACCACGAGAGCCAGCAGCTTCTGGGCTTCCACTCTCTGGCAAACACTTGAAATATGAAAAGGCTTTGTTTGTCTTCACGTATTTACATCCGAGTTACGGCCACGAATGCAATCTTGAAAGTCGTAACTACAGTTAAAATCTCAATTTGAGATAATAATCACTGCTATCTGATTCGTCACAATGAGCTGAAATGTCTGCAAAGAAATCAACTTTTAAGATATTTGTATTGTTGATGCTGTCATTCAGCTCCTCAAATGCACAAAGTGGCAACTGGAGCTCTGATTCTGTACAGACTCCTTACACTAACTGTGCAGAATTTAACATGACACCACCAGGGGAACAAACAGCACTGCACTGAAGAAAACAAAAACAAAATATCGACAAATTCAGATGAACTTGATCCTCATTGAGGAGTTTTTGGTGAACTTAAAACATCTACGTGATTTTCTGCTCGACATGTCAGGAGCTAAACAACAACCTGGATGAGTTTGTTGCATCTACGTGAAATAAAAATTTACTGTAAACTCTCAGGTTACAATTTATTTATGTGTCAGTCAATCAGTTGCTTTTATGTTTAGTTGTAAATCTTCTGTGCTCAGAGTTCCTGGTTCACTGCTGCTTACAGTAATGCCAGATGTGTCTGTTGAACAATTTGCAAAACTGATATTTGCGTTCTCCAGCTACAGTTAAATTAAAATGATGGAAAAAGTAAATTTAAATGATGAAAGAAGATATATTTCAACTTGCCTCAATGGTAACTCAAGGTAAGTTTTTGCAAAATTAGAAAATGTCTGTTTAAATGCTCCTTGGCATATAATCTCCAGTACATGTGAGAGGATGAGCACCGTTCTCTCCCTCATTTACTGATTTGATTTGAGTTCTGTCTAAAGTACCTGAAATAGTCTAACAGATGCTGTTTATATTACACACCGAGTGTCTGTCTGTCAGACTTAGAAATTTACATAATGCTGACCTCGGCGGCTCTGTCAGTTTAGAGTGTAGTTCAACTTTAACATGCAGGAATCTTGCGCAGGTGTTTGTTTAGGGTGAGCTCTGGTGACTGGAAAGGCAAAATCATATGACTCACGTCGTTCTGATCATCGTCACAGCATTCAGTGAACCCTCCCGCACAGTACAGACGCAACAGCTTCCAAGTTTTTCCTTTAAACTGTCACCCGTCTGTACTTTAATTCTAATTTGTCAGCTGCAGCTAAGACGGCTCCACTTAAAGCTGTTATGACTGAAGTGAAGGTCTGTGGGTTCACAATGCCACGAAATGTAAGCAAAGACATAGAAACTGAACATTTTCACAATTCCAGCTGTAATAACAGATACGGTGTCACGCTAATAAATAGCAAAAATGATTTCTGAATCCCTCCCTGAAGCAATCTGTGCTTGACGGAGAGGAGTGGAGGTGGAGGTGGAGGCTGAAGGGAAACTCACCTACAGCACAGTGCAGTATCTGTGAAAGGAGAAGATAAGGGAAAATTACTCAATCTGCCCCTGGAACAGTTTATTTCAACTCATAAAACACAGTCTGGTCGACTCTGAGACTTAATTTTTTTACCTGCATGCCCAGAAACTATCCTGCATTTGAAATAATGCTGCAAAATCCAATTTACTGTCATTATTTTCCCAGTAATATTCTCTACTTTTTTCTTTCTTTTTTTAATAACCTGCACAGCTCTGGAATACAAAATCTGACTCACAATTTCTACATAATGTGTTTGGCGTTGAGTCACTGAACTGTTCAGCCCGTGCACACGTTATTTGACAAATTGAAGATTTGCGGAGCCTCGGATCACGGAGCTACAGTGTGTCTGGACAGGATCAACACGACACCTCGAGCTGCTCAGCCTCTGCACTGTACATGTGTGTGTGTGCCAGCGACATGTGTGAAGAAACAAGATGATGCTCTTTCACCTAGTTTTGCAACTCCCTTTTTTGGAAAAAAACATTAGGGAGCTTTGTTTATTTGGTGAGTTTCCACCACAGTATATTTTTAGGATCTTAAAAATCCTATAAAAAGTGGTGGTAAAATGTTTTTATTTTTGGCTCTGTGCCTTCAGTGCAGTGCAGCGAGGCACGTCAGCTTATCAGGCTGATATGTTACAGAGGACATACCAAACACTGGAGAGATAACAGAATCCAAGACTCAGCCTAGATCGATAGGGTTTTTTTTAGCTCTTGCAACAGACTGGATTAAAAAACTAATGAAATTGTAGTATCCCTAATATCTGCATATACAAAGTAAACACTGTAAAAAGTCTCTGTCTCAGTATTAACACATAGCATATTTGGTTTTGTCAGTGTCGCTGTTCCCTCCGTGCTTATCTCACCTCCAGAATGGCTCCAGTCTGAAAGAACTTCAGAGGCTTCTCTATGGAGTAGTACAGCCCATGGTAGCTTCCTCTGGCCAGGTAGGCTCGGACCAGACCCACAGCAATCACCAGCCACCTGGAGAGCAGAGGAAAACACTAAATCACAGCGGAATTATTTGCAAAACTGAGATTCACCGAATGGTGTTATCGTGGAAGCAGAAATCTGTGGAAGGAAGGTCAACGTGACAGATAACTGGAGCCAGCGTTTCGATGATGAATAAGCCAACATTAATAACGAACTTCAGGGGATTTGTGTTGCGCAACTGAACACAAGTTTACTCTGATCATTTAAGTTGAGAGCTCTGTCAAAAAACTGGTTTCTTTAACAGGAATAAATCATGTTTTCTGCTGCGTTGTAGAAAAGCGCTTATTTAAGGTAACTTTTCTTTCAGTGCTGTGTTATGGTGACCTTTTATACATCGGTCAGTGCTGATTCTTGAACACTGTTTATCACTCTGCATTAGGATTTATTACTGGTTGTCATCACTGTGAGCTTTATGCTGGAGTTGGGAGGCCTTACTCTCTGTAAGGTGTTATTGATACTGTGCTTTATTTATTTGTAAGGCCCTTACTGGGTTTTTACACCCTTTTTACTGAGCTTGGACGATCCTGTTTTACTCCCTGTTCACCAGCAACCTAAAATAACAACCTGCAGAACAATCACAAGCTGGACTCGTTTTTACCTTTTGGGCAACAACATTTCAATTTTATCTTGTTTATTTTTACTTCAGTTGATTCCTTATGTTTTTACTCTGATGCCGTTATTATATTATCAGTTTTGCTTTTTACATTATTTATTGTTATTACTATCCCAGTGTCATATCTATGCAGCAGTGTTTTTCATTTCCTTACCAAAATGAGCCTCCATAGCTCGATGTAGTCCAACTCAAAATAAAGGTTGATGCATTCTGGATTTAAGAGAGCTTGTACCTAAAGACAATTATTAACATGTATTAAACTAAATCACGAATATCATATCCAATTTTAGGATCACACATTACGCCACTATTATGAATAGTTAAAAACTGAGTTGAAAATGTTTTAGATTAGAACTAGACATTTAATTACTAAGGCTGATAATAAAAGTAAGGAAAATTCTACAATATTTTTAACACAAGTAAACATCACTTGAACTTGAGTTATTTAAACGATAAATAAAAACAATCAATATATCATAATAAACCTATTTTAAGAAAAATTAGGTTCAGGTATTAAAAGCAGTGAATGCAGCCTGTAAAACATTTCTTGCTGTACAGACTGCAGGGCACGTTGTTTTCATACAAATATATCAACTACAGTGAAATACTGACAGCCACTAATCATCTTATGGCATAGTTTATCATTGTTTACTTTTTGTAAATCTTTAAAATTGGGTTTAGAGTTCATATTAAGCCAGATAAACATATTATAATAGATGGAGGATTGTTGCACATTGCAACAATTATTATATTAATACAGTGTACTCACTGAGGCAGAGGTTAAAAGTCAGCTGCAGTGCATAGTTTATACAGTTACGAGCTGCCAGAGTGTTGCTAAAGGATGCCTGATCAGGCTGGAAGTTCCAGTTCCCAGTCTGGTTTGACTTGTATCTACTCGGCTTCAGTCTCACTCTGCAGCAGTGATGAATATCAAGATCAGGGCCAGTTGGCCAGAAACCGAGCAGGCCTGCTCTCCAGCTACGGCAGCATTTGCAAAAACGTGTGTGTCCGACACTAACTTGTGTTCAGTACAAAGCAAGCACTGTACATCCCATCAGTACGGAGCGGGGTAAATGTGACCTAACTGGTTGGAACAGCGAGCCAACAACGCCCACCATTCAATTGTGCAACAGTCTAACAATCAGAGCAATAAAAGAGGCGCAGAGAGATTTCTTGGTTCATAGTTCAAGATAACTGTTCGTCTGAGGTTGCAAAATAATGCATGTTGGACAGTCATTATTCAGAAATGAAATGCAATATAATTAAAGATCCATTAGGTACAGTTTTATCCAAACATGTGCTTTTAGAGGAGAGGTTGGCGGGAAAGAGCCTTTTTTCCCCCAAAACAAATTCACTCTCAAAAATCCCCAAATCTGACTAACAAAAGGTCAATTTTCAAAGCAATTAATTCAATCATTTTCATTATTGCTATTTTTGCCTGATTAACTACCTGGTTGGAGGAGAAAGAAAGAAAGAAAGAAAGAAAGAAAGAAAGAAAGAATATTATCATAATCACACAAATAAAAGCAGCTACATGTGAGGAGCCAGAGAGAACAGTTATTTAACTACATAGTTTAATTTTAATGTACAAATTCAGTCATTATCACACTTTTGTGCACTTTTAAATTAAATTACAGTTTCATCAAAGTCTATGTCTTAAAGCACAAGCGCAGATTTTAGGACATTTGTCTTTAATCTGTTTTCTGAAGCACTCGGTCTTTAAAAAAATTAATTATTACTTAATCTATCAATTTAATCTATTGTGGTGAACAGAATTAAATCCAGACATATTTCTTAATATTTTGAATTTTCACCTGGTTTCTATTTTTTATGCTTGTCTGAAAATCAAATAAAAAATAGACACTTCCACCAGGAATTGATGCAGAAATTCACTAAAATGCATTAGATGAGGCGTTCAAGTGCCCATATTTGTTTCAAATGATTTTGTACAGTTCATTTAGTGTAATTTTACATTGTGCAAATACATAAAAACCTAACGTTAGTCACTGCCCTGCAAACTAACATGACAATGCACGATGAAGACGCGCACTTTCTGGCACAAGACTGCAGACAATGAACCATCTGTCTTAATATTAGTCCCAGTTCATGTGGACGCCAGGTGGTTTGTCTGTTGCTCGTCTAATCTCCATAAAGCCGCTGGGTGTCGAGATTCAAAGTTATTTCGCTGCACAGCACGCTGCCCGTGTTTACACTGATAACTGCACGAAATTAGCAGATTAGAACTCAATCGGATCCTCCTTATATTTAGTTTTGCTCTCACACAAACACACAAACACGCTCCAGCAGCACAGCAGCGTTAGCACGAGGAGACACGCTACATACCCCGCTGTCATAACAACGTTGTAGATGACCAGGTAGGCCGTAGCCAGGGCCCCGGGTCCCTTCTTCTTCTTCGGCCCCACGTCGCTGTGGGCCGCCTTGCTGGTCCCCGGAGCAGCTCCCGACATGACTGCAACCCTCAACGGTCTTCGGTCCTGGACGACAGCGGCTGTCAAGCTGAAGCGAACAGGGGCCACACCGGGAAGTGTCGCCCAGAAGCGAGAGCGCTGACGTCTTCCAACTTCCGGCTTCGCTTCGAAACGCGCTCATAGAAAAATTAACTTTAAAACTGCTCAAATATACTTTCACTGCAGCTTTTCATTTAGACTACTTATTTAGAATATAAGAGATATATTTACTTAAATGAAACAGTTTCTAACGCTTTAGCTGGACTAGTACAAGCAAAGGAGCAGAGCAGAGTTTATCTTGAGCTAACACTCTACTCTTTGTCATTTCCTCTGACCGTTCTCCTGAACATCGCCCCCTGCTGGCAGCTCCGGGGCTAAACCACTCTGCACAAAAAATGAATTCTTCTCTAACAGTTTTGAACTATATTATTTGAAATGTGTTGTTTTCTTTTTGTTTGTTTGAACAGCTTTTTTCTGTTTTTTTTATTAAAGAAAATTACAGTGTTTTACTGTTAATCTGCAAAAAATATTGTTTTACAGATATTTGCCAATATTTGAAATAATTGATTGTGAAACTGGAAATTATAAATAACTTTTAAACTGGTATTTTACAGATTTTCCCTGTTTTGTTAAGATAGTATCAAATAAAATCACAGAAGCAAGTATTCCTATAGATTTTACTTCTAAAAAAAACACCACAAATCTGTATTTGTACTAATAATAATTTGTTCTTTTACAGTGTTTGACCATAAAAAAAAATAGCAGTTAGTGGATATAACTCCCATTCTATGAGTACATACAGCTCTCTAACAGGCTTCACTTTTGGTTGTGTAGAGCGGCCCGACTTTATTCTGTGGTGTCAGAGAGTAAATTTAGTAAATTTATATTATTATTAGTTATTTAGGCCATTTGGGGATATTGTGTTGTGGGACACTATGGGTGAACTTTTGCTTGCATCTGCATCTCTTTTCCAGAACTAGTGTTGGTCACCCAAATGACTATTACATAAAATTGTTATTAAAAATTAAAAGGAGACTTTTCTTTTTTGGAAGATTTTTCACTTCTTCAGTTAAAAATAGGACTGAAGGGGTCTCTTGGATAAGAAAAGAGAAGTCCAGTTGTTTTTTCTCTTTGTGATTATCATGATCAGGATGAATCTATGCAGACAAATTAGTATTACTAACTTATAACCAATAACTGGTAGCTAATAGGCGTCAATCCTGCTCTAGCTTTAACATTTGTGAGGACATTTATGAAAACAGCAATTTCCAAGGTGCATTTTTACATATGATTGTAGCTGTGTACAGAAAACAGGACTAACCCCATGCCACACAGTTGTCCCCAGACTGTTCACAGCAAGTGCAGTAATATCATCACTGTGAATGAAGCACATTTTGTTGACTGATGTCGTCATGTATGTTTGTTTTTGTGCTTATTATGTGTTTGTTGCAGCTGCATCCTGCACTTTAAGGCCAAGACAAATTTCCTTCGGGACAATAAAGTTCATCATCTCGTCTATTAATGTAGAACAAGTGCAGAGAGAAAATGGAAAGACAGTTCTTTGCCTGGAGCACAGTGTCTCACATTTCATATTCACTTAACTCTGAAATAACTTGATAAATAGTGCAAATAGAGATATAATAAGTTTTCTGGGCTGGCTTAAGTCCCCACAGAGCATTTGAGGGCAACAAATTCATTTTAACCATAAAAAAAACGAACTAATAATGTTTTAAACAAAACTGACACTGCACTAAAAGTTAATTATTTTCCACAGATTCTAGCCCGTCTAATGCTATGAATACCAGCAACAAAGAATGTCTGCAGTTTGGTGGAAGCAGTGACATGAAGATCTTTTATAGACGGCCTAATTCTTTCATCTGTTGGCTGTTCCACTTTTGTTCTGTCTTCAAGGACCGCAAAAAAAAGGCATTTGACAAAGACAACAACCATCTGTCATTTCATATATTCCAGTAAAATCCTTAAATAGATGGATGAAAAAGAGGTGGAGGTTTGACAAGGGAGAGGGCCTTTAGGTCCTGGGGTCATTAGGGCCCAACATGAGTGCACACATGGTGGAACAGGGCACTCAGAACAGGTTCAAAATAGGCATCTGCCACTTGTGCCTAATGTTGTGTCCCTGCCATCACAATCACAGAAAGAGAACCAACTTTCTTTTTGCCAAGTGAATGTACACAAAAAGACTCACTGGATTTAGCTTTTTAAGTTGCTCTCTGTTTAACAAACAGTTCCAAGAAAAACTTCCAGGAAATAAATGAACAAAAATAGACATACAGCTAAAAAAAAGAACAAAAAAACTGAGCAAAGATAGTTGGCCATTTGGACGGGCCTCCTGTCACAGTGGGGCTGCAACACCTCGAACATTTCTGTTGTTTTTGCTTATAATGTGCATATTCCTAAACAAATATAATCAAATTGCACTGAAAAGCTGGAGCAGGATAGTGTTCCATGTAAGTAGTACTGGTCGAGTTCTAAAACTCTGTAAAAAACATATGATGAAGCTGCCTTTTGCTCTGTATTTACTGCATTTGCCATAGATCATGGGGGAAATAAAGTTTCCACAATCATCACATTCATTCAATTCAATTTCAATTCCAATTCAGATAACTTTATTTACTCCTGAGGATAATTCAAAATTACAAACACAGTTCAAAACAATGACAAAGAACAGCTGTTTATTGGCTGTTGGCAGTGTAAAGGCTTGGCTAAAATCCCAAATTGCTCTCAGTCACCTTTTAAAAAATGGTCATTTTATCTTTTAGTGGTCACATTTAGTAAAATACATTTAAATAAAATGGTTGAAAATAATAGTAAAATCCATCTTTTATTATTCTTATTATTTTATTTTTATTTTATCCCTAATAGACACTAAAGTTTGGAGAATTCTGCTGCATCAATTTC